ACTCGTATCCTGAAACTACAATACATCATTCAAAGAGTTTAAAGAAGACAGAGATGGAAGGATATCACATGTTCACAGATTTGAAGATTTAATATTAAGATGTCAATACTATGCAAAATAATCTACAGTTTCAATGTGATCCCTCTCAAAATATCAACACTTATTTTGTAGAATAGAGAAATCTACCCTGAAATTAGTTTTAAATCTCAAGGGATAGAGCAGCCAAATCAATCTTGAAAATGCCAAAAACAATGCTAGAAATCTCACATTTCTTGATTTCAAAATTTACCACAAAGCTAAAGAATCAAAGCAGTGTGCTATGAGCATAAAGACAGACATACAGATCAACAGAGCATAATATAGGACCAAGAAGTAAACCCCCACACAAATAAATATATAGTCAAATTATTCTGAAAAAGGTTCCAAGACAATTTATTTTATTTTTTCATAAAATAACTTTATTATAATAAACCCACAATTAAAGCCATCACATAGCTAGATTATGGCAGCCAAATACTTGGCCAGACCTAAACTCTATATATTTCCATGAAGTTCTATACAGTTAGAATGGCCATTCTGAAGCCATGCAGCTGTGGTTAGGGTTTTACCCTTTCATTATTGATTACAATTTTATGCAATGAAAAACAATTAGCTTTCATGACTGATGTGCCCTTTTGACTGCATTCCATATTTATCACCTATTATTACCTTTTCTTGTTCTCCTTTCTAAATGTTACACTAACTATTCAAAGAAGTATTCAACCTCCCTAGTCACCAGGGGAGTGCAGATGAAAAATACTTTGAGATAGCACTTCAGCACAGTTAGAAATCTGACAACAAATGTTGAAGAGGATGTGGGGAAAGAGGAACCCTTATGCACTGCTACTAGGAAGGCAAATTAATATAGCCATTCTGGAAATCAATTTGAAGAGTCCTCAAAAGAATAAAAATAAAAATAGAACTACAATATGACCCAGGTATTACACTAGTAGGTATATACCAAGACCATTTAATGGAGAAAGAACAATATTGGGAACAAGTGATGTTGGGATACCTGGATTTCTATATGCAAAAGAATGAAGTTGGATTCTTAAAAGAGAGGGCTCAGTGGTGAAGAGCACTTGCTGCACAATCATGAGGACCAAAGTTCAGATTTCAGCACCCACATATCAAGCTAGGTGTGTACACAGGCATATAAACCTATATACACACATATACATACACTCTCACACTCAGAGACACATATAAATAAACAAGTAAATAAATATTGTAAAAATCATCATCTTGAATCCTTAATCAGCATCATAGCCAAAAATTAATTCAAAATACATCAAAGACCTAACTGCACAACTCTTAGAAAGAAACACTGGGCAACAGCCTCATAACAATAGACTAACAATAATTTCTTGCCTATGATACCTAAAGCACAAGCAAAAAAAGAAAAAATAGATAAACAAGAAAGGATTGTACCAAAACATAAAACTTCTATATATCAAAGAACGCAATCAGTAGTGTAAAAATTCAACCTAGACATTTGAAGAAAATATTTACAAGTCGTATTTCTGATAATGGGTTAATATCCAAAATAGATAAAGAACTCCTAAAACTTAGTAATAATAATAAAATAGACAATCTGATATCAAAAGTGAGTAAGAGGTTTCAGTAGATTTTTCTAAAGAAGATATAAAATGACCAATAATCACATCAAAAGATGATCAAAACCAAAAATGAGATATCACTTCATACCCATCAAGACAAAACAAATTCATGAATGCTGACAAATAAGGAAAATATTGGAATCTTTATGCAATCCTGGTGTGAATGTAAAATAGTGTAGCCTTAACAGAAAACAGTATTATGATTCCTTAAAAACTTAAAAATCTGATCATCATATGACCTAGCAATTCTGGTATAGACTCAAAATAATTGGAAGACAGATCTTACCACATGTCTAGTTACATGACAGAGAAATCAAGCTGAAACAGGGCTGGCTAGCACCCAGGTTGCCAGAAAGTGCTATGAAGGCTCCTGAGAAAGAAGTGCCATCAACAGCCTTACTCAGCTGTGGATGCTTCTGTGCAATAATACTGACTAGCCAGGCAAGATGCGCCCACAGTGGAATAGTGGCATGTCTGTTATGAAAGTAGCCAAACTGCTTTCTGACTGGATTTGAAACATACTCCATATGAAGGAATCCATATTTGGTACTGTAAACCCACTCAAAAGCCTGTGGCTGGGAGGTCCTAGCTGTCCCTAGTGGGGAAGCTACTGGTACTTTAATAAATGGACATGATATGCCTGTCAAACTGCCTCCTAAACAACTATGTTTATGTCCATAGATTAGTGCTATTGTCAGCTTTAGTCAGAAAAACTTCTTTATGCAGTGGTCAGTGGTTAACTTCAGAGACCCATAGCTGTTCAAGTACAGAGAACAACTGCCTGCTAAATGCTCAGCTATAAATAGAACATCTATATCACCACCCCCAAAGCTGAGGAAATATCACAGAAAAGGCAGAAAGAATTTAGAATGAGAGGAAGTGGTGTAGAATGCCAACTTCCAGGTATGGAATTGCTTTTGCACACTTGAACTCACAGCAGCTGAGACTACCAGCACAAGAGCTGCTCAAGATTGGGCCTGTAAATATCCTATCATGAAGAGTGGAAAAGCCCCACCCTCCCTGAGGATAGACACTGTTAATAGTTGGTAAGGCAGGAAGAGATATTTTCTTCAGTGACATAGTCACTGCTAAGGCGCCCATGCTCCCTTGAAGAAACTCTCATTTGTTTTCCTATAAGTAACCCTAACAAAATTAAAAAGAAAGTAACCCAGGCCAGGTGTGGTGGCACACGCCTTTAATCCCAGCACAGGCAGAGGCAAGTGGATCTCTGTGAGTTCAAGGCCAGCCTGGTCTACATAGTGAGTAGCTGGAGCTACAGGGAGACCCTGTTTCAAAAAAGACCCCCCCCCCAAAAAAAGTAACCCTAACAAAACTAATTGAGTCATCAGAAAAAAAAAAAGAAATGAAAATAGAAATGGGGGGCTAGTGAAGAAGATCAGCAAGAATAGGAGGACAAGAGGTTTACAGGGTGTGAATATAATTAAAATACACTGTGTACATTTATGAAAATGTCATAATGAAACCCATTATTATGTATAATCGATATATGCTAATAAAATGTTGAAAAGTAACATCTCAAAGAGCCATTTGCACACCCATGTTCATAGTGGCAATGTTCACAATAGTTCAAACAATCCAATGACAGATAAATGCACAGGCAATATGTGATATATACATAAAATGGGATATCCATCCTTACAGAAAAAGAAAACTTTTGGTAATAATGCTAAGTAAAATAATCCAGTTACAAAACAGTAAATGCTACAGAACTGTACTTATATGAGCCACTGAATTAGTCAAAATTATTAGAAAGTAGAACTGACAGGGAGTGAGTGGAGAAAGGAGCTACTACTTCATGCACATAGAGTTCCAGCTTTACAAAGTGAAAAGTGCTGTGGTAACACATGGTGGTATTGGTTGTACAACAATGCGAATGTATTTAAAGCCTTTGAACTACATACTTCAGAATGGCTACCATGATACATTTCATGTCCTGTCATATTCACCACCATTAAAAATTTTTTTTAAATTAATGTGCTAAGATGAATAGAAATCCCTAAATGTGCAAATACATTTCAGCCTAGTGTTATAGATTGAGACTTCATTTTATTCTGGTAAATAAGTGAAATACAAATACATTTCTGGACCAAAGTCTAATTAAATTCTAACTAGTGCTTTTAACTGCTTACATTCACTATCCACTCATTATTTTTTTGATAACTATACTTTGACTTTTGCTTACTGAAAAAGAATATAAAATACTTAAAAATACAAATACAACTGAGATACCAATTCACATACTTTTTATCTCTGATTTCATAGTTCTTTTGGTCCCCAGATTTGTGCTTAGACAAATGCATACTTAATCCGGGCATGGTGGCAGATGCCTTCAATCCCAGCACACCTTCAATCCCAGCACACCTTCAATCCCAGCACACCTTCAATCCCAGCACTTGGGAGGCAGAGGCAGGCGGATTTCTGTGATTTCAAGGCCAACCTGGTCTACATAGTGAGTTACAGGTCATCTGGGGCTACAAGGAGACCCTGCCTCAAAAATACCAAAAAAAATGCATACTTAAATTATTTAAAATATCTGGGTCCTGGGATGGCAAGATGGTCCAGCAGGTGAAGCCACCTGCCACCAAGTCTGATCCAAATTCCGTATCTTCTGGGATCCACATAGTGGGTGGCCAGAACTAACTCCTGAAGGTTGTCCTCTGACCTAAACACACACACACACACACACACACACACACACACACACACACACACAGTAGAATATGCATGCCCCTGAATAAATAACTCTAATAAATCTGGTTCTAGATAACCTCCATATGTCCATTATAACACTTATAATTTGATTCTTTTGTTAATGAAAACACTGTCAGTCTGGCATATCTGGCATGAGAAATATAGCTAGTAAAGACGATAAAAATAAAAGTACATGAACTAATTGCCACAAATCCATATATTACATAGGGATATTGACCCTAATTAGAGTAGGATGGATTAAGTTGCTAAATGTATTACATTTAGATGACCTACATATAAAAAATGTAACATTTGATGTTACTTTCAGCCCACAATGTATTATAGCAGTCACTTAGAAATTCAGGACTAGCCAATCTCTGAACTGCAATCTGACAAAAGCTTGAAACAGATAAAATCACTTTGGCTTCCACATTGTATAAAATAACTTTCAAAAATAAACCAATTAAATTTAAATCCCAGCATAGGAATCTCTTGCCCAAAATGCAGTGGAGCTTAGTGAGGAGAGAGGATTCCAAGAGGAGAGACAGGTGATGCCTACAGACTTCTCAGTGTGAGCACTGGGAAGGCTGGTTGAGCTGCCCTTCTGAGAGAAAGGAAATTTGAGATGACCTTATTTCAGCAATTTCAATCGGCGGAGGTCTGTCTTCATCTTGAGGAAAAGCAGCGAAGTTTTCTTGTTCAAAGGGGCCTGAGGTAACTTCAATTTGAGCTGCTTGGAAGTCATCAGCATTTTTATATGGTAAAGACAATCCGATATTTTGGAAGCTAGAGAAAGCTACATTTTGGGAGAGAAGCCGTTGACTAGCAGCTGGGTGGTAATTTGGACTATGACTCTGAGACCTGTGATGAAGGGCATCTTCTGAATCTTTATTTAGTTGGTTTTCTTCACTACTGGAGGCAAAACCGTTTATCTGACTGGAAGAAGAAATAACAGTTGGAAGAGAAAAGACAGATGTCAGGCTCGGTTGAAAAGAGTCTCTCTCAATAGCCCAGTGGCCTGGAGAAACAGCCTTGGTTTCAAAATTTGTAAAGTATTTACTGCTATATTCAGGATCAGAGAAGCGTATCCGTTTTTGACCAGATGTAGTAACTGACTTTTTAGAAAAGTCTTGATTTTCATTTGCATTAGGCATGTTCTGACTATTTGGTGAAGTGTCCAAGAAAGTGGCCCTCCTGTAACAGGAAACTATACTTAGTTTATGGGATGAAAAGCATTTCTGGGTTCCAACGGCACCAAAATGATCTGAAGATTTTGAATTATGAACAGTTATGTCTTCATGAAAATCAAAGTTAGTTCTACTTTGTTGTCTCCAAGGGAAATTATTCCTCTTCTGAAGTTTTGTCAATAAAGATTGTCTTCCTCCAGAGAGAAAGGAGCAATTAGATGCATACAATGTGGAAGAGACTTTTCTACTTGGTTTGCTTGTTGAAGAAGGATGGCATGTCACAAGACCCAGAGCTAGTTTTGGCTTTAAAATATAAGAGGCTCCATGATGCTTATGGTCTGAATTAACTTGGTCTTCAATATAATTAAGATGGAAGCTCTGGTCCTCTTTGCAGCAGCTGGAGTGAGAAAAGGCCCAAATGAGGAAGAATAAAAGGGGGAGGGGCAGAACAGAGCCCTATCAAGCTTCCTAGTAGGGAAATAGCAGGGAATTAGAAAAACAGGGCAGCTGAAATTAATGGCCACATAGATGTACCTCCAAAGATACATATTTAGGTAGATTATCTCCCTATAAGGAATCTGCCCACTCTGGTAAAGCTTGGGGAGGGAAACTGAAATTCAGGCACCTAGGCAGAAAGTAAAATAAGGGAAACATGAAAAGACATGAGGTATAGACTAGAGAGATTGCTCAGTCGTTAAATCACTGGCTGCATTTGCAGAGGACCCGGGCTCGATTCCCAGCACCCACATGGTGGCTAACAACCATCTGTAACCCCAGTTCAGGAGCTCCAATGCCTTCTTCTGCCCTTGGCAGGCATTGCATGACACGGGTGCACTTTACATACATGCAGGCAACATACTCACACACATAAAATAAAAAAATAATAATAAAATGTTTTAAAAAATAATGTTCTATTCATCTAGAGACACTTTAAAAAAAAAAAGCACGAGGCGTAACAGTTCCCTAGAGGGAATATTAAGAGCTACACACACACACACACACACACACACACACACACACACGCACACAAACACACCCCAGAATATCCATATGAGACCATTAAATTATTGTATTTAACTAGTTAGCTAAAATACACTTATATTCCATTGACTAAGTACATTTTAAAATATTAGCCATGAACAAAGTCATTCTCTGGGGTGGGAGGATGTTTCAACTAAATACATAGATGTCTAGGTACTCTGAGAAATCAAAGGATGCCCTAAAGTTTGGTTTAGGAATACTTTCAATGTTCTTTTCTGTAGTACATGAAACACATGAAGTGTTTATTTTGCTTTGTCTTTAAGGCATACCTTAAGCATTTTCCCATACTGAATTTAATCCAAAGTAAATCTCTCCCTTCTAGGCCATCATTCATAAGCCGTAAAATGCCCTGTATAGGTGGAACAGGTCAGAAGACTGAATACTTAAGTTGCATGTAGAAGCAACATGGCAATAACACAGATTGTGATGACAGTGACTCTAGAACCCAATCTCATCAGTTTAGAATCAAATTGTTCTGTGGCTTATTTCTGAAGAACTTAAGTTTTCATGGCTGTGGGATGTTCTCGTTTCCTTATGTTCAAGGAGTCAGCTGACAGACTGAGGGGTAAAAATGCAGTTGAATGAAGGCAAGAACATGATTTCTGTTTTAAGTTTTTTCCTTGGAAATGTCTCTTACCAGCAGCCTTATACATCCCTGGCTTACTAATTCTTTGTTTTTTCAGCGGATGTGAAAATATTCTTTGCTCAATATTTTTACATCCAGTGAAATAGTAAACTGACTCAAAGAATTCAGACTGTCTGTGCACGGTGATACACACCTTCAATCCTAGCACTTGGGAGGTAGAGGAAGGCGGATCTCTGTGAGATCGGGGCCAGCTTGGTCTACATAGTGAACTCCAGGTCAGCTGGGGCTACTGGGAGACCTTGTTTAAACAAGAACAAGAACAAGAACAACAACAACAAAAGAATTTGGGCTGAAGATATATGCAATGGGGGAAAAGTGGAAAATGTCATGGCCTCTTCTCCAATGTAATCCACAATCACAGTAAAGCTATCATTGTCTGGGCCACACGCACAGGTTATAGCAATTTTCTATTGGACTGTTTATTACTCTTATAACAACTTAACACCTAACAGTAAGGTTAGCAGAGTCATAGGAACCACTTTCCTTTCCCAACTCAGAGTACTATGTCTAAAATTAGTATGTGTACAGCCACTTAGGAAAACAACGCACTACCATAAACACTTGTTCACTGCACAGCACCCTGCTCTACTCTGTTAGAAATCGTTCCCTTCTCAAGACTGCTCCAGAGTTACAGCATGGAAACATGGAACTTAAGTAATCCACCATTTTTACAGCAAGCAATAGGCAACTTTTCTCAACCTCCTCTTGGCCTTCGAGGAAAATATCTCACCATTCTTCAGTTTCTTGCCACAACTCTGAAAAGCTGACTCAAATAGTCAGGGCTGTACATTTTTGGCACACCCAGTGTGATATGTAGGCACACAGGAAGCCCAAGTACTGTCTCAGTGCAGCAAACTCTATTTTTATCTTTCTTGTAAAATTGTTCATTGTTCTCAAATCATATTAAGATCTGAGATTACCTTTTCCAAAAGGACACCTTTCACACATTGCCAAGAAGAGAACATATAAATTTTACAATGTTTTAGGCCGGCTGTGGTGGCACACGCCTTTAATCCCAGCACTTGGGAGGCAGAGGCAGGTGGATCTTTGTGAGTTTGAGGCCAGCCAGGTCTACATAGTGAGTTCCAGGACAGCTGGGGCTACAAGGAGACCCTGTCTCAAAAAGACAAATAATAAATAAATAATAAATAAATAAATAAATAAATAGTTTCTGTGAGACTTTTTCTTTGTAGTGTTGTGTTAGTGTTCTGCTATGCATTCCTTCAAAGGCATCTAAAAGGAACATTTGGTCATTGAATTGCACTAAATTAAATGATGGGATTATGAGTAGATACAACATTGCCCTGTCACTTCTGCTCAAGAGAAGTAACGAAAGAGGTCAGCTCTCTCCTCCTTACCCCATTCAGACAAATCTATGATTACCCACCCCCAAAGCAGGTAGGGATTAGATGTGAATGTTTAAAGAGTGAGGAAGAAAATCCAGCTCTTCCTATGTTTAGAGGGGGGAAAATAACTCATACCAGCATGAGTAATATCTGAAAGTTAAATTTTTTCAGGAAATATTCTTATCTAAATCTCTATATGCCCTAAATTTGTTCCATCTTTGCTTAATTTTTAAATAGTCAAAATTAGATTTAGCCCAAAATAAGGTCATAACTGTTACGGCAAACATTTAAAATCTGTTCCTCCTTCAAGTCATGTGGACTCTTTTTCCTATCCAGTTCATGACCCTAGGTGCTTTCTATTTTTACCATGTCCTGTGACTATCCAAACCCTTTTTTTTTTTTAAACTACAACCACTCTATTCTTTTGAGACCAATATTCCATTTTTACTATGCCCAATAAACATTACAGCCCATCTTCAGAGCAATAATTTCATTATAACAGCTCAACTGGATATTAGAAAATCTAAAATGAAGCTTCTCAAATGTTAGGATATATCAGACCATCAGAGTCAGGAGGAAGGCTTTTAGAGAGCTGATTCCCAGACACAACTCAGTAGGTCTGAGATGGGGAGTGGGCCGTGGTCCTGAAAATATGCATTTCTAGCAATGTCAGCTGCTGGATGGGATGTCGATGCTGTTGCTGGTCCACAGATTAGAACATCTGGAGATGAGCAACACCCAAGTCGAAGTAGAAGTGCTGTCTGAAGGGCTGCACAGAAGCTTCCTGTTTGAGCTGAAAAGACATCACGTAACCAAATATTCCTTCACTGGTGCCTAGCTACCTCCCATGTGAGGATGAGTAAAGAGGGAGAAACCTAACTGGGGCTGGGTCTTTCACATAAAGAACTCACATTGAAGTAGAATTTTGAATTGGTAAATTCAAATTTTTCCACATTTTCCAAAACAGGAATTACCAACTACTCTGAATTCAGTAATAGAGAAACATAGAGGTCTATCTTTAGCTGATATTAGTATCATTGCAATGAAAATTACTCATCATTATATTAATCAGCTTTTTATTAATGGCTTATCAAGTATGTCCAATTCTGTCTTAACTCATCTTTAAATTAGCACCAGGTTAACTCTATTATATTCTATTTTAACATTGGTGGGTTTTTTTTAAGACAAGAATAAAATTTCCAACTTATTCCTCTTGTTTTCTTAATAATCCACCAATTATTATATTTATAAATTGTGTGGTAATGGAGATAATGATTAGGAAGAGTATACAGGGAAGATCTTACATTCCCAAATGATTTCTTTAGTGAGGGTTGCAGGAGTAAGGGTTTTATACTATCTGTCAAGTCATACCATGCTGAGGGTATTAACATTTCCTAGGGTACACTCTCTTCTTTCTAGCTGGTATCCCAGGAAGTTAAGGGATACTACTGCTAAAGGGCAGGTCACACTGTTTCCTAGGTTTCCTCCTCTTTGCCTTTGTTTCTAACATTTTTAGTAAAAGGTAAATAAGTAAATTTTATTCTTTTTATCTTTATTGGTTTCTTCCCCCAAACCCAAGTATCCCACAGTCAAAACAACCTCCAAAGGTCAAACAAAATACATAGTCTCTGGATCTTATGCTTCCCTCTTGCATATGTGGTTCTCTTGCTATTCAAAGTTAAAATCCTCGAAGTAAGGATTGCTAGGTTTAAATCTGAACTGTCCTTCACAGGCTCAAGGTTCAAATGCTGGTTTTCCAGCTGGTGGCGCTATTTGGGGGAGGCTGTACAGTCTTTTGGATATGGGGCCTGGACATCAGAAATAGGTCACAGAGGGGCAGGCCTATGAGGGTTACAGCCCCCCCCCTGGTTCCAGCTCTCTTTCTGCTTCTTACTATGATGAAGTAAGGAGGCTGTGCCACATGTTTTGGCTGCTAAGAACGCCTTCATGTCTTCCCACCATGATGGACTGAAAACTTCAGCTAAAATTAATCTCTCTTTCCACAAGTTGTTCTGTCAGGGATTCTGTCACAGTAACATAAATGTAACTAGTACCAGGGTCTGTCCTTCTGGTGTTCAATCTTTACTTCTCATTCATTCATCCGGGCTAGAACAGGTTTTGGTACCTGTTAAATGCTCTTGCAAAACTTATCAAAAAATTAGCTCTTAAACCAGGCATGGTGGCACATGCCTTTAATTCCAGCACTAGGGAATCAGAGGTAGGAGGACCTTTGTAAAATCAAGGCCAGCTTGATCTACACAGTGAATTCCAGGTCAGCTATGGCTATAAGGAGAGCCTGTCTCAAAAAACAAACAAACAAAATTGGCTCTTGGTCTCAAATTTAGGAAACAAAAGTCAATCCTT